ACCACTACCACTTTTCCTCCGTCGCTGCAAGTTGAAAGCAAATCGCTAACGCCAACACCATCTTGATCTGACAGATTGCAAAATCACAACCAGGCAGGATGTGGCGCAGTCAGCGCAGAGCTGGCCGCTTCGCCCAGAGCCAGAACACGTTGGAGCGTCTTTTCTTTCAGCTTCCGTTTGAGGGCCTGGTGCAGGAGCCTCAGGTGCTGAAAGACAGGTCAGGTTCAGGGCCAGGGCCTTTGTGCTTCCCCAACGCCGGCGCAACAACAGCCGCCACCACTTTGCCTTGCGACCCAGACAGCCGGCTGTCTGCTGGCCTGGCCAGCCGCGCTGGCCCTGGCCGAGCTGGCGCCGAGCTGGCGCCGAGCTGGCGCCGAGCTGGCGCCGAGCTGGCGCTGACTCCGGCCATCTCCCGCAATTCTGGGCATTTTCGGCCAATTTTCATTTTGGAGAAAAAAGGCAAACAAAGCACAATAAAAAACACAAGAAAAAGCACAAGAAAAAAGCACAAAAAAGCACCGCAAAGCTCCAATCACCCCTCCCCCCCAGAGACCCCGCTACTACTCGTCATCGCGGGACAACATTTTTGAGCCAGTCCTGGAAGTGGCCGTTCTTTTTTAGAGTTTATATAGATTTGACACATGTTAGCTCAAATGAAAGGAATTGGCCATTTGGAACTTCAGAAGCAACACCTTGCGCACATTTTGCTTATAAACAACCCAGGCAGCTCAGAAAAAACGCAAAAACACATCGAGTTTTTGCGCTTTTAAAGATCAAAAATGACGACAGTTGCGCAGAACCCAGAAAGAGGTGGCAACAAACATCGAGTTTTTGAAGGTCGGCGCTGCAAAACACCGCGCAGGCGCACGTTTGGAGGATAGGGAAGGGGGGGGCAAAGCGACTCAAAATCCTTTAGGGTTTAAATTAAATCTAGCAAAAGAAGTTTAGGGTTTAGGGTCAATCCGATGTCAGGAAACGAACAACACTTGGAACGTTGGAACCTACAGCTGTTGGCTGGAAAACACCACCCGCCCAAGCTCCCAAAGCATTCGGGGCCCAAAACACATTTGGCTACAAAAATCCGGATGCCCACAGATCGAAAGCGATAGACGAACCACAGGCCTGCCAAAGCTGTCAAAAGGCGATTACAAAAGTGCGGATGACTGCAGATCGAAAGCAGTGTGATAGGATATAGACGAACTACAGACCTGCCAAAACTGTCAAAGTGCGATTACAAAAGTGCGGATGCCGCAGATCGACAAAAAAGTGCGTCTCCTAATGCACAGTTCAAAAATTGCAAGCAAACATGTGATTGCAAAAGCAGATGAGTTTCTTAATAGACAGTTTAGTAGGAAATCGACAAGTTCAAGTTGGCTGCCCAAAATTGCAAAATGTGACTGCAAAAGTCCGGATGACCACAGATCGACCAAAAAATGCGTTTCTTAATGCACAGTTTAACAGGAAATCAACGAGCTCGACTCGGCTGCCTAAAATCCGGATGACCGCAGATCGACCAAAAAATGCGTTTCTTAATAAGCAGTTCAATAGCGGGAGGAGCGCAAAAAGAAGCGCGAAACCTACAAGAACAAGCACAAAGGACCACCCCAAAACCGCAATACCCTCCCCAAAAACCCCGCTACTATTTTTCATCACGGGAAACCACAAGCAGGAGCACAAAAAAACACCACGAAACCCACAAGAAAAAAACGCAAAGGGCTGGAGGTCTGCGCAGGAGGAGGGCTGGGAGGTTTGGGTGAGGGCCGCAGGTAAGAAGAGGGGAGGTTGGGAGAGGAGGCTGAAAAAATGAAAAACCTCGACACGGGGAAGGCTTTGGCTTTGGGCAGGGGGAGGTTGACTGGGAGGGGGGTGATGTGGGAAGCAGCGGCGTGACAAAGCCAAACAGAAAGGAATGAGGGAAAGGAAATGTTGCAGCAGCTGTGCTGAGCCGTCGGGTTGCGTGTGCCTTTTTAACTTTCCCATTGTATTGGGAAACATCAATCACAGTCCAAATGCTCTTTGAGCCAACTAATTTCAGTTTCCCGGCATTCTCCCCCCGGATGCAGAAGGAGTAATGTAGGTTTCAGGGGTGCGCAGGCACCTAATTTTTAAACAAAGGAAAGTTGTTTTTTGTTCTTTTTTTGTGTGCTCCTATTTGTGCTCACTGTTCCTGGTTTTGGGGGGAGACCCAATATCTACATAGATATATATATGATTATATATGCACATTCACATGTTGGATATGCATGTCATACATACATACATACATACATACATACACACATACACAGATACATACATACATACGTACAAACATACGTACATACATAAACGCATACATACATACATACATACATACATACATACATACATACATACATACATACATACATACATACACACATACATACATACATACATACATACATACATACATGCATACATACATATATACATACACTAGCTACCTACATACCTACATACCTACATAGCTACATACCTACATACCTACATACCTACACACCTACACACCTACATACCTACATACGTACATACCAGTACAGTACGGAACGTTACGTTACGTTACTTTACATTGAGCACGTTACATTGCGTTACATTACATCACATACATATATATATATATACATGTATATATACATATATACACATGTACATGTACACACACATATATATATATATGTATATGTATATGTACACACATGTATACAAACACATGGAAATATGCATCGGGCATCTTCTTAAGGGTTGCGTGGTTGAGGGTTGTTGAAACCATGAACCCTTTTTTCAACAGGACCCCCATTCAACAATTGGGCGGCCAAGAGCCGCTCGGCCATTTTTTGACAACCCATCCCGACTGTTTCAGTCTTGTCGACAAATGCCAGGAAGGGGGGGGGGAACCGTGATCCGTGCAATGGGGTCCGCGCTGCCGATTGCCACTTTGGCAGGCTACGCTTAAGGCACCCACGTACTCATAGGCGCCACACTTTTACACCATCTGATATGACCCTAATGCAACCCCAATGAGGTTGATGGCTTCATGGCACCTTTTGGTTGTGCTGTTCCTATCAGTTGCGAGCGATGTTTGAAGCATAAATAAGGAGACCCTCAATGGTGTATTGAGTGTGGTGCACACGATGCCTTCTCCTGCCGAAAGGCCATTGCATAGTTCTAGCTACGCATTTCTGATATCCAATTACAAATCCTACATTTCCAATTGCGAGTCGCCCCAAAGGTTCCACTTCCAACTACATATCACCCTCTCGGAAGGTTCAGATCACAAAGTTGTTCACCCGGGAACAACAGCTCATACCCACATCTCTCCTGACGAACATCGTTTGCAAGAGCAGATTGCGGCCGCATCGATGCAGGAGACCTTGGCCCATTTGGACCGAACACAGTGCTCCACTCAGTGGGTATCTGGAAAAAGTTTCAGGGGGGTTGGTGGGAGGCTCGTTGGTGTGGTCGAAGAGGGGGGATGTCCTTTCTAGCCTGCCTCACTGGAACAGCGCGTCAGCTTCGCAAAAGTCTGAAAAACATGAGGTACTTGCTAGGCTATATGCCAGAGCAGTCGAAGATGTACCTCATTGACAAAGAGCTCAATGCTGGTATCTCAGGGGCAGAGATGTAGGCAGCTCAAGCGCGGAGAATGCATGGCTCACGTTCGGTCAAGTTTCCAAGGTTACACCATACACTCTCCATATGGCGCTCATAGAATACCAGTCTGCCATCATGCGCAAGGAGCACTTTTGGCTGGAATAGAGACAAGGGCAAGCTTGGGCAGGGCGGGCGGAACGAGTGTCAGGGCTTGGATGTTCGATAGTGTTGATAGCCATGGGCAGTTCTACCACGCTCATTTCCTGTGACTTCCCATCGGCCAACTCTGGCACCCACGGTAACCATGCGTTCAAAAGACCATTTGTCAGGTCCTTGGGTGCCCAGGAGTTTCCACGTCTGTTTTTTGTTCAGTTTGAACGAATTCTTGCAGGACACGCAGTTCAGTTTTGCACTTCACAGTTGGCACAGTTTGCAACTACCCTGTTGAAATTACAACAAGCAAATTAGAGCCGTTGGAGGAAGCAGATTGACCACAGATGACAATGACGTCATCTTGCCAAGCAGCAAGTGCCTTTGCACAGGTTGGGCGACTTTGGGTGGAGTCGAGAGCCATGGGCTATCTGTCCGCTGATTATAGCCAGCTCGTGTTGTTAAACCGAGCTCACGCAAGAAGGACTCTCGGGTCTTCATTGAACTCTTGGTGAAATCAGGTAGGTCTCAATCGGTGTGTGTGTGTGTGTCAAAAACGGGAAACCTCCAATACGAGTGGTTTCCTTTAGGTTTCCACCCCAAAAGAATGGGTTATCCTAAGAAAGACAGCAGCCCAAAAAAAACTCTCGGCGACCGCCGCCCCGCGAGCGAGCCGTTCCAGGACTTTGCGACAGCGGAGACCTACTTTGCGCAGCTCCCCGAGCCACGGGCCCAGGGAAGATGTGACTTTCGACACCGCTAGCCCAGCTCAGCCAGTTCAATTGGGTGGCTCGTCTTTCTTGGAGTTGGTGCCCCCTTCTTTGAACATGCTCAGAGCGTAGCGGTAGAATGTAGTACCGTCAGACGAGCCAACATAACACGTTGGCCTTTTGGGCTCAAGTGCCTGAGCTTGGAGCTTTGCTGAAACATTTCTCACTGCTTGAAGGATAATCATAGAGATTGCACTCGTCAGACTAGCCATTTTGGCATTTGTTGACGTTAAAGAAAAAACCCGGAGGAAAACCCAGCATGTTGGGGGCGGTCTGAAAAAAGGACCCGCCAAAATACTGGCAAATGGAAGACATTTCTGTTGTGATGCGAGCCCAACACGGAGAAGGTTTAGTTCACCCCTGTCCCATTGACATAAACAAGTACGGAGATCAAGACGCACTTTCATACTTTTGCTATAGGCTTTTGGATAAACCCCTATACTGACAAAGTACCCGGAAATGCACCCAAAGATTTGTAAAGGTTTCTTGCATCCTGTGAACCGCTTTCCACTTATGCTTTGATGACTTCTTCTTCTGCTTCTTCTTCTTCAAGCACCCGTGTTGAAGTAGGAGTCAAACGCAGACCATTTGGTCAATTTAAATGCTGGGAGCAATTGCCGTTGCGAGATGCGAAGCCCTCCGCCTGAAGTTTGCACCATTCCGCCAATCACCCGCTTTTGGGGGAATTTGGTGGTGCCCAGTGTGCTCACGGGGTGGTGGATGAAAACCTTCCCAAGGTTTCAAAAGGCAGATTTTGAGCTACGATCGAGGTCGCTGCACAACCGCATCGCCCGGTTTCTGGAGAATCAGGGCTACCAGTCGGAGGCGCTGCAGATCTCCAAGGACCGAGATGTGTTTGCGAGCTACAGGGGTTTGTTGTCGTTTTCTTCGAGCCCCATATGTTGTTTCTTTCTTTCTGCGAGGTGACGGGGAAAAAGCCACTTTGTGTCGAGTTTGGCACGGAGAAGCGAATTTTTCGCGATGGCTTCGACTGGGGATGGGTCAAAGTTAAACCAGTGGACCGCAGGTTTTGGCTCATGTTTCCCACCAGAGATCCATTTGGGGTACCTATTTTTGACCCCCCCCCTCCCGGGCAACAGGATGACGAGCACCGCTTTGAGCTGGCCACGCAGCTGGGCAAACTGCAGATGGCCGCGGACATCATCCTCAGCATTTCTGCGCAGGCTGGGTGTAGGTTGGGTGGGAGAAGGTCAGTAGGTGTCCTTTTTGGTTGTTTTGCTAGAAACATAGATGGCGATTCCTGGTTTACCCGGCTCCGGTGATTTAATCATCTACCAGGGCCATCTATTTGTCCCCTAGGACACCTATAGTCAGTACAAAGTACCATCCTGATTTCCTGATTAGGGTGATTGGGCGTGTGTGCGAACCGGCCTGCAAAGGTGGCCACCGACCAATTTGTTTGGACCTCCCAAAGTGGCAGTACTGTGGATGGACGAAATCCATTTCGCACCACCTGAGAATCCCTTGAATGATGATTGCCACATTAAATACCAACAAACAGTAGCTTCCCATGGTTTCAAAGTGGTGCAGGATTTCGTTCATCCACAGTATCATTGTAACCCACCAGTAGATTGCAACTTTTGTTCAGCGGAAATCCGATGTTGCCGTCGTGTACGAAATGGTTCTCTTCCCAGTTTGGTTATTGCCAAGGCCAGCGGCTTTGGCACCGTGTGTATATATATATATATTCACATGTATGATTGAAGGGGGACAAGTGATGGTTTTTGACCTTGGTCTCCGTGTACAACATGTATAATACGATGATTCCTTTTTGACTATCAAGACAATTCAGTATGCCGTTGGAGGACATCGCCAACACAAATATCATTTATGACTGGTGCATGCCGTGATTGCCTCATTTTTCTGGCAGTAGACATCTTGCGGCTCTGGTGGCTTGCCTGGGGACCCTTTTGGGGTGCGTTAAAGGGAAACCAAAAGGAATATTACCATTGTGGGGATCCCCTTATTTTGACACACGCTCAAATTACAAGCGGTGCGCTCGAGTTGGGGACCAGGGATGGTGGTCCCTTGATCATGTATCATGCTCTCCTAAGAATACAGGAGAGTCCTCTACAAAAGGGGCTTGGTTTGGCTTCGGTTTCCTTCCTCCTGCTTGGTTTGCATTTAATTGTCCAGGCTCTTTTGGAGGAGCCCATTTCCTAGGTTCATTTTCTGTCTGGTGCCAGCCCTTGAGGCCAACCCAGCGATGCCTCCGCGCGGCAAGTGGAAGAACTTGGGAGATGTGGCCCTTGAGCAAGGCGGGGCTTCTTTTCTGCAGGACAAGCACAGCTCTCACATCTCCACGCAACGGGCGGTCTAAAACACAGCCATGATCCGGATGGTTGGACATAAATGCTTGTCAATGTTTTGCTTTGGACCATTTTCTGGGAACGTGCGAACACTGTGCATTGAGCTGGGGTGTGCAAACTGGAAACGGGTTTGTCTCACAATAGGGCAACCTTCGAATGGGTGGTTTTCTGTTGGCTTCCCTTCAAATGGAACGCCACATGGTACCGCACAAAAGACACACAGAGAGCCCTGGTGAAGAGCTACAACAAAGCATTTCAGGGTCAATCACGGGGGCGCAAGAGCGCGAGTTCGGCCTGAATCTCGTTACCTCAAACCGACGCTCGAATTTCTGCGCCGTTTGGCTGGGTTTGTAATTCAGGCGCGAAGTTTATAGGGGGTTTTGGGCTGGCTTAAAGGAAGAAGGTGTTCGCAAAACAAAGGGAAACTCGGCCCCAGTTTGGGAAGGTGGAAGCACATCAAGGCAATTTGTTGTTCTCCCTGACTATGGGTTTGTTGGAGGGGATTGTAGCAAGTCAGCAGTTTGACTTGTATACAGCATGACACTTTACCCTGTGACATCCCTTGCTTTTGGGCTGAACCCATGAGCCCCATGCACCCCTGGTATGAACCCTTTTTCTAATTGACCACTATGAAATGGCAAAATGTTCGCCAAAGGGGGCCCCAAAAGAAGAGATTCCACAGGTTCATATGTGTGCGATGCGACGGTCAAAACACCCCTTTATAGAGACTTTAGACAATTACTGTCAGGGTTCCTTCTAAGGTAAGGGTTCCTTCTAAGGGACCATGGCACTTTTGTGGGTCGCATGGTTTTTGAGGGTACCCTCCTCACCTTAAAGAGAAACAAGGAAGCCATCACCTCTTGCTCACTGTTTCTGGGGATTAACGTCAGAAAATAGGGGGCTGTGTCCCTTTAACCTAGCACACAATGGGGTGACTTGGATCATGGCAAAGCAGTTGGGTCAGTTTTTGGGGTCCCCTTCTGTTGGTCCCAGCCTTACCCCTCTCAGGCGACTTCTCGCTGGCGAAGCGCTGTTTCAGCGAGGCGAAGGACTTGCGCCATGCGGCCAAGAGGGGAGCCACGCCAAAGGAGGATTTAATGAACCTTTTGGGTTCTCAAATTTACTTGTGGGGATCCGAATGGACCATTTAGAGTATAAATTGTGTTTTGTGTTTTTTGGCCTCATCCATTTCGGTTCACCAGAAACCTTTCAGGGTTCTCAAGATTTACTTCTGGGGACTCCAATGGACCATTTAGAGGGTAAACTCGAGGATGTCTCTTCAATTTTTACCCAGTGTCATATTGATAAAGCCGTTTTTTCGAGCAGAATAGTTCCTTCAAGGTTGCGAACGAGTTCATAATGGACCCAATACACACGGGTTTTTGTTTGAAGGTTCCCTTTCTTGGGCTTCAAAGGGAAGCCAAAGGGAGAACCCAAATCCATTTGGGTCTTCCAATCTTGAGACACCACATGAGTACCTTGGGGAGTACTTTGACGTCCTTTCCGGTTTGAGTTTCAATCAGATGGATCAAAACAGATAGAGTCCACTGACTAAATATCAGGTCACTGTGTTGGGTCAAAATGTGGAAGCGCGGTGTGCAAAAGGGTTGCCTGGCACTGCTCTCCGAGCCTCATGACATCTGAAGGCTTCGAACATTGGCGATTTCCCCTGTGGCTTCGAGACGGATTCCACGTTGGAACCCGTTTGGTTCAAAACTGACACCACGGAAGGAGCCCTCTAACTTGGGGGGAATCCCCAAAAGGTTCCTATCCGTTGTTTCTAGGGTTCCAGCTTCAGCGTACCTGAGCCACTTTGGATACAGGCCTAGCGGTGGAACTTGGAAAGAACTCACAAGGGAGAGCCATCCGGCCACGTCAACTCTAGGATCGCCTTACGTTCATGTTCAAGACTTTTCAGAGCATTTCTTGCCACCCCCGGTCAGGACCGACTGATGTGTACTCCCTTGAGCAAATGCCGCCCAGAATCATCTACTGTGAAACGGAGCCACATTGGGTGCACTCACCAGAGGATTAAAAGTTGGGATCACTTTCTAAATTGTCACGTTGGTTGGCTGGAACCTTGCAGTATATTGTCTGTGACTCCCGCTCGCCCGGTCGTCCTGGCAGGACCTCGGCGCCCTCTTTTTGCTGTACACCTCCGTGGGCGATGCCGAGGGTGTGATGGCCACTGGCAAGCTGGCCGAGGCGCATCGCGTGGTTTGCTCTATCGCGTGGTGTGCCAATTTGGTGGCCCTTAGTTGGCAAGTGTCAGTGGTTTTGGAATCAGCCAGAGTTTCTCCGGAACTCCTCGCTAAACAGCTGGGCGACCCCATAGCTCAGGTAACCCTTAGTTGGTGGTTTGCACTGATAGAAGGTAAAGGGGAAACCACTGGAACACCTCTCAACCGCCGATCCAAGCCACCAAACAACATTGGCAGTGTCGGGTTGGTGGGCGGGCTTCGAATGCTGCTGGATGGAACTTGCCTGTCAAATAATTTTGCAGCCGTTGGCTATCTCTTCACAGCTCCTGCCATTACTTCCAGTCGAGAACAGCGTGCAGAAGTGAGGGAAGATATGAAGATATGTCCCATTTCTCTCTCTCTCTCGCTCAGTCTCCTGGCTGGAGAGGCTTCATACTGTCAGAATCTATGTTCCTTTCGTTCGCCTTGGGATGCCTTCCCGGACGGCCAAATTCAGGGTACAGAGATGGATGTGAGCAAATTCCAGGGAACTGATTCCCTCCTTCTCCTTCCCTCTCCGTATGCCGTCTATTTCAGGAAGAGATTCGAGAGAGATGAGAGATAACGATATGAATAGAATGGGATGGAAATGCTTGGATGCCAGGAAATGCCTTCCTTCGCGGTCAATTATCAGGGTTGCTATTCCTTTCTCTGAAATCTCTTGAATGGAGGCAATGGCGAGGAGAATCACATCATATCCTTTCCTTCGCCACCATCGGTTCACCCTTGATTTGTGGCTCGAACAGGGCTCTTGAATCCCAAGAGCTCCTACAAATGGGTTCTGATGGCACCTTTGCGTTGGTTTATCTCTTGGGTGTCATCTCTTGGTCCTTTCCTTTCTTTCACCTTCCCCAGCTCTTGGACACTCACGGACAACATGATGAAGACGGAAAAAGAAGGACCCCCCAAAGTTTTAGACGAGAGATGGGGATTCTGAGATCGAAAGTCAGCTCTGGAAATGCTTGGGTGTTCTTGACTCCAAAAACATGATAAAGTTGCAATGGAAAACTGCATGTCATTTGCCATCACCTGCCAGCCAGTGAATCTCTGAAATATTGGACACGTGCAAAACTCCGAAATCCAGACATGAAGGATGGCGGGTGAAGATAGAGATTGGGAGCTCCCGTAAGGCCCATCCATTCATCTTGGTGGCCAAGAGTTTGATGTGCTGCCGAACGAATCGCGAGGCTCACCAGGCACGCGCAGCTCGCTGCCAAACTCCCACTGTCCATGCGGTTTTCATCATCTCCAGCGCCAGGAGAGCAACATTTGCAACATCTCCGTGTTGTGCTACCTGCTGCTGGGCCAGACCAAGGCTGCCCTGGAGGCACGAGATGCCAATTTGGGGGGAAAAGGAAAGGCACAGGAAAACAGACCTCGGGCGATGCAAAGTGGGCTTCTTGGGTCGATGTTCGTTTCCTTTCCGTTTCTTTTCAGTCTCAGTCCCTAAAGCCCTGCCACAAATACGTTTCAAGGACGCTCCAAGCATCTCAGGGGCACTGCACTTGCTACCCTGGGCGCCTGGCATGCGAATCGCATGCGTCAGGTGCTGGTGAACGCCAATCGCCTGCCGGAAGCAGTTGGCCCAGAGTGCACCCATGGCTTCAATGGGGGGCCCCTGCAAAAAGAGTAAATCTGCGCGTAGGTCGTTTGAATACATCAACCATTTGGCTGTGGCTCACAAACAGGTACCAGTAAATGGAACCAAAGACTCGAACCTGCGGTAAGCCTAGCTCTTTCATTTTGAGCCACACCCATATGACGTCCTGGCAAGTCAATCAATAGGTTTGAGTCCTTTCGTGGATCACTCCAATGAGGCGGCCTTCTTCGCTCGGACGTATTGCCCCAGCGAGCTCTCCAGAATTGCCATGCACTCGGACCGAAACAAAGGCCCACCCCGTCGACCTCTTTTGACATCGTGAACCGGTTCACACCTGGAGACTGTCAGCTTTTGATTTGTTCCAAAGCTGAGGCAGACGTGTCCCAAGGATCAACGGTTGCTTGGAGTCAAGGATCAATCCTCAAGCCCTGAAAAGGATCTCAGACCATCAGAAAGCTTCGCAAGATGACCAGAGTCTATGCGCACAGCTCGACCTGGCTTGGCCAGTAGCAAGACGCTGAGGTGCAGATCTGGACAGCAGACCTGGCGAAAGTGAACCAGGCCTTCCATCAAAAGTGTCCTTGAAGTTCTTGCGGGAAGAGGTGAGCCACTTTCGCCAACTGGGTTCTTTGAATGGTAAGCTTCATTGAGTCCTATGGGTCGGCCTTAGGGGACCTGTTGGGGGGTTGTCACAGCCCAGGGTTCCACGCGTGTGTGCGTGTGTGTCCCAAAAAGAAGAAGCGATTTTCCTGTTGGTCCTCCCCACCTGAACAAATGGCACCCTGAAAAATTTCTAGACCCACCGCTCTTTGCGCCCAGGCGGTGGCGGATTCCCTGGCCGACCCGGCGAAGCCGGGCCCACTGCCGGGTCTGCGTTCATAGCAAGCACTTATCCGATCCGGTGATAAGATGGCGTTCCACTACCCCCAAACCGAAGCTACCCCCGGCAGTTTAATGGGAGATATAGCCACTATCTAGCCACTATATACAGGGTATATATCCGAGTTTATCCTGGGGGGCGTGGTTTGGGGGTATTGGAAACCATCATAGAATAAGGATCCCTCAAAGATTCCTGAATTCAGGCAGGTGAACAGTGGATGTAATTAGTGCACATACGTGAGGTTTTTTTTCCCCTCTTTTTTTTCTTTTCTTTTTGCGCAGTCGTTTTACCAAGAAAGCGGGTGCAAACTGGACATTGTTCGGGAACCCATTTATTTTTCGAAAAGGACAAGGACAACTAGGGGCCCGGTCAGATGACACCTCAAATATGGCTGATGGTCACATAAATCCAAGTTTAAGGGTCACGAATGAACATTCATACCCAACAGGGGTCCATCCAAGCTCAGGACCCGTTTTGAGATGGATTGAACAGGGGTCCAACGTGAAATTGAAATTCAACTCCTTGTTTTGGAAAACTACACAAGCATGCGCGCAGCTGTATGATTGATACTTATTGATTAATTGGAAAGGACGAGAAGTGGACTATGCTTGCACAGTCCAACACAAAAGCCCCGGCCCACCCACCCAATTTTCCATGTCCTCTTGCGGAACAGGCAATATTGTTCGTAGCTCATGTTGCATTTGCTGTGGTACTGAGACATGGAGGCCCCGGAAGCTTCAAACATAGCCCAAGAAGGAGCTCGTTAGGTCCAGTTGGTAAGTGGTTAGTGGCCCTGGTGAAAAGTCAAACCTACAGGAAGCAACTGCAGCTGGTTGGCCAGGGGATGTGAGGTGACACACGGAGGTGATCCGACTACAAGTGCCACAGGAAGTTAGTCACAACCCTGGCATTTGGTAGATATCATGGGTTGTTTTGTTAGATATCATGGCATTTAGTAGATATCTTGCTGGCATGAGTATCTGTCTAATTGTAGCTGGTTTCTTCGCAGGAATTGCGACACCTGCCCTGAATGGGCTCGTGCAAAATGGTGGGTGGTCGGGAACTTCGCAGGAATTGCGACACCTGCCCTGAATGGGCTCGTGCAAAATGGTGGCTGGTCGGGAATCCAAAAGGAAACTACTAGGACACCCTCAGATGCTGCCCGGAATATGTGAGTCAGGAAAGCCAAACGAAAACTGATAATTTTGCGGTTCCATATGGGGGGGGGACACCCAAAATGGCCATGGTTTCCTTATCAATCTCTCAAACCAAAAACCTGGAACATACCTAGATACAGCCGGAGGTTCCCGGACCTTTTCGCGGACTACAACCTCACCCTGACGGCAGAGAAGGTCTTTGAGGCGTCGGAGCGATTGCATGAAACCGTTGGGTGTGGTTTCTCCTTGGTTAAGAGGGACAGCCGCTATGAACCCAAAATCACACTTGGTACGCCGAATTCGTGGGAGGGAGACCTTTTGGCTGTGTGTCTTCGGCAGACCAAGTGAACAGTACCAATTTTCCGTTTGGCAATTTGAGAGACACCCAAATAGTGCAATTAGGAAACAAGGAAAAACTGTAATCTGGAGGAGAGAGGGGCTGGTTCACCTTCCTACTCCAGCTACAACCTTCCCAAACCCAACTATTCATCCTGGAATTTGCCCGGCGAGACAAGCAACCAAAGGAAAGGGATGGCAGGCCAAAACGGCGGCAGGCCAAACCGCCAACGATAGACGTAGTCAAATGGATGGTTTTCGGCACCAAGATGCGAATGTAGGTGTCCAAGCAGCCGGTTTGGAAATTAGCGACCTAGCGGCATACAGTTGGGCACATGAACTCTCAACCTCGCGAAGTAAGTTTGCGACCTCACTCATGAAGATTTGTTTCTTTGGCGGCCCTTGAATTAGGTTGGTGAGTTTATTTTGATTAGTTTATTTGGGCGTAGGCGAACGAAGAGAGTGTGGGAGAGGAGAAACTATTTCTTCCTCTCTATCCCATCCCTTTCACCCAACCACTATGCTATGCTGTAGGTGCAAGACGTGTCCATCCGCTCCTCCACCCGCTCACAATCCAAATATTACAGAAATAGTAAGGGAAAGGGAACGGAGAGAGCCAACCTTTCAATCTTTGTCTCTCTTCATTTATTTGGGTTAGGCCTGCATTCCTTTCCTAAGCATTTCCAGGATATGACTTTACCATCGCTTCCTTACCCGACCAAAAGCCATTCCTTCTGCCAGAAATTGTCGGTTGCTCTCCTTGCGCTGCTGATCGCCTGTAAGGATCCCAAGGAACAGGGCACAGGGCAGATAGTCCAATGAACACATAGCACGGGTTTGCTTGCATGGATCAACCATGAGAATGCCGCGGCAGTCCCCTCAAAGCGCCAGTTTAATACGCAGTATAGCAAGGGCTAAAGTCAAACTTTAGTTTTGTGGTAGCATCGAAAGTCCATGGAAGGTTGGGGGTGAGGGGTTGCAGGGATGGCCATGGAGCCAATGACAAAAAAGAGAGCGGGGAGTTTTTTGTTGGATGAAGGATTTTGCAATTTCTTGCAGGTCCAGCAAGGGTGTGTCCTGTTTTAGGATTTGGGCCCCTCAAAAAGGCTGGTTTTCCTCTTGGGTTTTCTTTTTGGTGCCGCGCCTCACAAAAAAAAACGACATGCCCAGAAAGGGGAAGTTGCTTTGGATCTCTGTTCTGACGATCCCTTCCAGACGTGCCAGGCCAAGAGGAAAGCTCCTCCGCCTGCCTCGGCCTATGCAACAGCCGCAGCCCCGAGCGCGGGTCGAACCAGTGGGGTCCAAAGGGAGGGTGTGGTGGATATGGGTCTGTCTTTGTTGAGAGAACTCCCCCCAAAAGTGGTTTCCCTTTTGGTCTCCCTTTTAATCACCCTCAACAAGAGAACCCCCCCCAGGTTTAAGGAACGTCTTTCTTAAGCAACCGCCATTTGGTCTTTCAAGCTTTGGTCAAAGCAGGGATTTTCGGATGGGTTTAGGGTGACATCTTAGGGACTCTGACACTCTGACCTACCTGGAGGGATTCCGAATCCCCACTCTTCAGAAAGCAAATAGTCACTCCAACGAGCTGGTTGGCTTGGCTGGCTTGGCTATTTGGCTCATGTTTTGGATCGGAGGAGAAAGAGTTTTTGGAGATGGATGTCATGGAGGAGATCAAGAAGCTGGGTGGGGGCCTCGGGAGGGATCCCATTGCTTAGGAAATGGACAGGCTCAACCAACAGTCCCCCAGTTGGCAAGATCCAACATGAATTTGGCGGCGGTGGATGCAAACTTTCATCATCCACTCTGGATGAATGGTCAAGTGGACACCCCTTCATGAGCTTTCAAGGTCCAGACGGCTTCCAGAGCTTGCTCCTCAAAGGCGGGATCCGGCCACTTTCGTGTTGCCCCCCTGAAGGGATCAATTGGCCGCTATGTTTTGCAGGAGTCATCTTGTTAGCAGCTTTGGTTTCCACTCTGAAAACATCAGCCACAAGGACTTTGGCGCTCACGCAATCACTCAAGCGAGTGAGAGCTTGTCCACCGCTTCCCAGGCGCGAGTCCCGCCGCCAACGACTTCACCCCGCCCCCCCGGCCTGCGCCAGCGGCCGCGCCAGCACCGGCGCCAGCTCCGGCGCCGGAGCCCGCCCCGGCGCCGGCGGCGCCGGCGCCGGTGGAGGTGGATCTGCTGTCGTCGCCGGGAGACCCGGATTCACAGCGCTTCGTTTGGGGGACAACTTGGGATGGATCCACAAAGGGAGGCCATGATCTTCACCAAGCGAAGGGGGTGGTAGTATGTATCAGATCAGGTGGGTGGTTTGCAAAGTGAGGGAAGCAAACCGACAGGAACCGGCTGTTGAGAGGGGTGCATCCTTGGTTTTGGAGACATGCCCCATGCGAAAGGAGACCATTTCTGGGTCTGATGTCTTTGAATCGGAGGCCGGAGCCAGCTCCCGCGCAGCGCCGCTGGCGAGCTTTCGGAGCGCGATGGGAACCACTGAAAGGGTCTCGTTGTTTGAGGGTCTCCCCCTTTTTGGGGCGGGTTTAGAGGAAACGCAGGAATACCCCCCCCCCATTTTTCAACGGGGGGTTTCTTCAAACACGGCAAACCCGAATGGACCCTTGTGGAGGGTGAAGGGAAACAAACATGGAACAAGGCTACAAATGGGGGCCCCCAGAACTCAGTTTATGTCCTGGCATCCCACACAATTTGTGCGAATCGTGACTCAGAGGGTTTCGCTTTGTGTTCGAAAGAAGAATCAAGGGGAATCTGCCCTACTGCCAAGACCTAGGAATGTTGCGGCTAGGGGACTTCTGCCGTTCCCATGCACTGGCACGCAGGACTTCGTGTTGACTCAGTTGGGGGGTATTCAAACAATGACCACGGGGTTTTCTCCTTTGGAGGGAAACCAGCAGAAAGCCGTTTCCATTTCTAAGGGTTCTCTGAGTGTGCCGATTTGGTTTCCGGTTGTTTCCGACCAGTTTTTGTGGTTTCCATCCAGTTTTGGAAAAATATAGGGCACTGGCTGGAGGTTTGCAGGTGGTTCCTATGGAGGGAAGACCGTTCCGAACGCCCGCTTACAGAGTTTGGTGCCCGCAACACCCCTGCCCCAGCTTGATGGCATCGCGGAGACCGCCTGACTAATGCGCCCCAAAGAAATGCCCAACCCTTAAAATGTGTCCGCTTCTCGTTCCCAGACATCTACTCTTCTCGATTTATCTGGGCAAAACCATGGGATAGGGATTCCTTGTTTCGGGCGGTGAATTATCATATTCAGCCCAAATGGACGTCCGATTCTATTTCATTTGTCCCTTCTGCGAGGTCTTTCTTGATTTGCCAATATGCCTGGCCAAATGAGTTTGTCATTCGGGCAGCCCGCAATTTGGTGGTCCTTTGCTTCCCTTTAACACAACCCCAAGGGTGCCCTCCCCGCTTCATTCTTCATACACCTGACAAGCAAGACGAAGACTTTCCCTCCGAGGGTTCCTGTCCGACAAGCCACCCATTTCTTCAGCTGTTGGGACCCAACTTTTCGCGTCAGGTCAGCCCCAGAGACCGTGGTGGAGTCCTCATCCCCTGAGCTGTTGGCGGTAGCCCCAGCACAAACTCTCCGATGCCAACCAAAGGTGTCTCTCCAAATGGAAATCAAACCAGGATGGGCCGCAGGCTCTCTTGGTTAAAATTGCACGCGCAAGCCATGTTTGCTACCTATTTTTTGACCCACAGCCAGATGGGGGAAAAACACAAAAAATCCGAATTCGGTCAATAAGTGATCTGCCTTGGACATTGCCAAGCCGCAAGCAAGACTATGGTACAAAGTACAAAGAGGGAATCCAGGGAAAACAATGGAACCCCATCACTGGATTTTGGGACTCAAATCTAATTCTAGAAACAGTTCCTGTGGTTTGGCTTTCAAATCAACCAAAAGGGGTCCTCCAAATCCAACTGGGTTGGTGCGGCAACTTCCATATCCCACACACATTCACATGGTTTTGTGCACATCGAACCCTTTCCACAAGGATGGTAGTCTTCTAAAAGGGCAGAGTGCAGAATGCAACGAACGTAACTTTTGTCCAGGTTCCAAAATTTCCACGCAAGATCACTGACTTGCCACTCCTCGTCATTTTGTTCGAAAGGAGTCAGTTTTGGGGGATGGGGATTTGTCTCAAAATAGGGGGATCCCCAAAAGTGGGTGGTGTTCCTTTTGGTTTCCCTCTACCATCCAAAAGGGGGTTCCAAAAAAAGGACACCAAGAATTGACAATCAGGTTCAGCAAACTACTCTGTTGGTTGAACGTGTATGCTGAGAGGATGGCAACCACTTGAAGTCATGGAACCAAAATAACAAGAAGATGGAAGAGGCATAGCTGCGCCGCGAAACTCGGCTGAAGAATAAGAACATGTGGGACCCTGTCAGAATGCAAGTTGTGATTTCCATCCCTTTCACCCACAGCTGAGGTGCCAGATGCAGCAGCACCAGCGCCGGCCGGCAGCTGAGTGGCTGAGTGGCTGACTGGCTCAGGAAGTTTGGAAGCTGGGCCTTCCCCCAAGAGAAGTGAGCCCTGTGGGCACCCCCCGATGTTCACCTGTGACTCTTGTCGGGAGCCAAAAGGAAAACCGTCGCACAGCGGGGCAACGCGACTTTCTGGGCTCTGGCCACTTCCTCAGAACGGGCCGTTTTTCAGTTTGGGAGCTTTCACATTCACCAAATGCACCATGTTGATTTCCCTTCTTTTCGAACCTGTCGAGCTTGGAGATCACTGACAAAAGCTGAGGAATCCGCTGGGGAGCCTCCGGCGCCAGAGTGCTCGTGCCGCGTTTGGACGCCTCTGAAAACGAGCACCCGGTTGGAGAGGTTTCACCTCTGAGAGAGACCCCACAAAAGCAAACACGGACTGGCAGGATCTAGAGGTCCGGATCATATCGGCTGCCTTTTGCCAGCCACAAGCCCATTTGCAACCTCTAAAACTTCTCAAGTGGCAGGCAGAGTGGAGGAGGAGATGCAGACCTGGTGGACCTCCTCTGAGAGCACACTCGAAGCGCCTCCCCCAAAAGAGCCGGCGGGAAGTGTGCCGGAATGCCTAGATCGGCTTATTGAACAACCTCAACTTGTCAACCCACCCTAAGGCCCTAGGTACCAGCCGCGGTTTTGGCACGTTATCACGTAGATCATTCGCGCAAGAACACAATTCCAAATGCAGCTGTCGCATGGGTCACATCCACTCAAGCATGCAGACTGCAGTCAACTGGTTGCGGTGTCTCCCTACTCAATCATGCAGCGCTTATCGAGTTTCATAACTCAGGTAGGCAGACTGTAGCGAAAGCAAATTGCCGCGACAGCTGAAAAGTGCAATCGCGGCGCTGTTGTTCCTTGCTGTGTGCTGATTTGCCTTTGGCATGGTCTCCAAGCATGCAAGATCTGAAATCCCATAGCCCATGAGTAGCTTTCACAACATATTTGTTTGCTTTGTCTTTTCTGAGGGTACCCGTGTGGGTTGCTTTAACTGGAACCTCTGAACCTCCCTGCAATTTCGATTGACCAACCCCGACGCTTGGGGGTGTTCCATACAGATCCTCGGAAGCCACGAAGGCGGCTCGCCAGGATGCCGCAAAGCCGCAGCCGAAGGCAACGGGGGCGCAGCCCAAGCAGCCGGGGCTTCTGCCCAAGCAGCCGGGGGTGAAGGCGCCCCCGCAGCCGAAGCAGCCGGGGAAGGCACCGCCTGCGAAGGCGCGGTGAGCGCATTCCCGGGCCACGAGCGAAATTGGCGCGGGGACCCTTCGCACTGTCGAAACAAGTTCCCCCAAAGGCGTCCGATTTTGATATGACAACCTGTCACTTGGCTTGCAGTCCGAGAGCCCGCAGTTGTGTGGACGGTTTTGGAGTTGTTATGGCCGAAGACGCGTAATATGCTCGAAGAGAATTGCCAAGCGATCTGCATTCTTGGAGTGGGTGCGACGTGTGCGCGCACGCACATACCTCTGTGCGTCAAATAGAGACCGTGCAGAAGTACGGAAGATTGTTTCATACCGCGTCTCTTTTTCATGACTGGGGCCGACAAGGGTCCCTCATTTTGACAAATACACGCGCACACACACACACACATTTGAATTTGTACGGTAAGCATAGTCATATTGTTAAGATGTATATAGCCAAACGGGTCGCCGTCGGTTGAAATGCTGAGTTGCTGGCAGTCTTTGTTCGGTTGGATTGTCTGTTTCTAAGGCAAGGGCTTGTGTTATGGCAGAGGTGTTTCATGTAGCGAAGCGGCACTCTCCTTGTGAGACGAGACCATCTGGCGAATCAATCGATGGGCAGGCACCAGGCCGCAAGCACAAGGGGGCCGCCGACCTCAGCCCGATTTTCGCGAGCCTAGCATCGGTTTTGATGCCGCGGTCCATGGCCTCATTGCTTGAAGAAAGCAAATCGAATACTCATTGGTCTCATCGGGCATTGCGAGAGAAATCCATGATGTGAGCTTGGGAGGAAACCAACTCTCCTTCAGATTTAACATGGAAACCCATTCCTTTCGGGACCCCCTTTTTTGAATCCATGTTAATTTGCAGGGGAGTAACCCGTCCAAGCCCGGGGGTTGGATTCTAAATCCGAGGCGAATAGGTTCGTGCCATCGTCCTTAAGACAAAAACCATGGCACATATCCGAAGAGTGTGCTCTGTGGAGGGTTGCAGACCTGCAAAGGTTAGGCCTTTTCAGCACGTACTTTCTTAGGGACTATGCAGCATCAATGGCACCCCAACATCTTTCAGGAGCCTCATCCAGCTTGCGCTGAGGCTAACCAGCCCATAATGGCCATGCCCAAGTCGAAGTCGAGCCTGATGCCACTCGGCACAACTCAGAAGAGCTGGGGCTTGTGCAAGCTCGCCCATATCCTTTGGATGTTGGCACATGAGAGGTTCAGTTTGCAGATCCTGGAGATTTATGGGCTAAGCGGAAGCCCCGACGCGGCGGCCACCACGACTGAGGCGAAGACACCAGGAGGCCGCTGGAGTTGTGGCTCTGAATCCGTGTCCTGAGTGCCACCTGCCGCTGGCTGGCCCTTCTGCTCGTTTGTCTTGGAGCTGGGTCCCGGTGGTCAACTGATTCTCGTTTAGACTTGGAACAACACGGATTTCATGTCTTTCCGCGGCTTCCTTTCGGTTGCGTTCGGACACCGCAACCGCTTCGCCGATCGATGCCAGGTGCTGATGAAGGCTGCTTCCAAGGCCGAGCGCAAAGCGGGTTGCATATTTTGGCAGATGCAATCAAACATGCAGCCCTCTCCAAGTCTTTTGAGCTTGGCACGGGTTGTTTTAAAGGATACCTAAGGAAATACTCGGCCCCACACAATTTGTCCATGTGAAGATTAACTTTGAACGCTATTTTCTATGCCTTTGGCTCAACCATCACCTGATGTTTAAAGGCTTTTCCTCGCGCATACAAGAACCCTGTGCAGGTTTGGTGAGTTGGACATGGCTTTGAAGCTGGCTTTGGTCGTTTGCCGGTTTCCACGTCTCCGCTTGGAACCAATCGCCAGGCTCAGCTTACTTCTGCCCTGACCCATCCTTTTCCGGCGGCAACCCGTCAATTTGGTCGCTGGGCTCCCCCATCGGCAACTTTGGTGGGTGCAGAGTTGGACTTGGACGCCCGGAGCAGCAAAGCACAGTGCCTTTCAGAGGAGCAGGTTGTCCTCTTTGGAAGGGGTCAAACAAACAAAGCGGTGAGTTTCCTTCAAATGGTGCAATGGCGGTGGAAAACATGGGGACATTTGGACCCAAGCTTTTGACTGGTGTTGGAGCTAACCAAAATCAGAGCTGGTTGGTTTGTTGCCTTCACCCTAACCCCAGGGCGGATGTGTGGGACCCCAACAAAAAGGCCTTCCAGTTGGTGCTGTCTGTTGAGACCCTCCTCTCCTGGAACCTTTCCTTCTCCAAAATTCACCCGAACTCCCACCCACGTTGCCATGGAACCCACCAAAAATTAATTTATTTAAAATTCAAACCAACTCCCACCCAAGAAACCACAAGCTCCTTCCGGAAAAATCCGGGTCTTCCCTAAATCCCGCAGTTCGTTTTTTTTCCCGAAAGCGTTGCGAAGGGTTCTTCCGTGCGGAGCTCTTGGTCAACTTACGCAGAGTAGCTTGCACAGAGTCACCAGCATGGAGATAGTACCAGGAGCTCTTGGTCAACTTGCGCAGAGTAGCTTGCACAGAGTCACCAGCATGGAGATAGTACCAGGAGCTCTTGGTCAACTTGCGCAGAGTAGCTTGCACAGAGTCACCAGCATGCAGATACCAGCATGGAGATAGTCGCGCAGAGTTACTAGCACAGAGTAGCTTGCACAGAGTTACCAGCATGGAGTCACCAGCATAGAGTTACTTGCGCAGAGCCAAGTGCAAAGAGCCAAGCGCATAGAGCCAAGTGCTCAGAGCGAAGTGCAAAGAGCGAGGTGCAAGGAGCCAAGTGCACAGAGCTAAGTGCACAGAGCCAAGTGCAAAGAGCGAAGTGCATCGAGCCAGGTGCATAGAGCCAAGTGTATAGAGCTAGGTGCATAGAGCTAAGCTAAGCTAGGTGTAGAGGCTCGGCGTTAGCAGCTGTGTAAGCTAGGTTAGGTAAGTTAGGTTAAGTACTTAACGCGCGGGCAAGAAAGAGAAAGAGCTCGGTATTAAGAATCTCTTTCTTGGCGGGGGGTGGGGATGTTGCCGGCGATCGGGAATGCGACCCTGTGCGGGGATCGGCGTGGCCGAGGTGCAAAAACTCGAGGTTTTTGCGTTTGGTCGGTGCGCGCGCGACCCTCTGCGGGGATCGGCGTGGTCGAGGTGCACAAACTCGACCCTCTGCGGAGATCGGCATGGTCGAGGTGCAAAAACTCGAGGTTTTTTGCGTTTTTGACACTCCCGGATGAACCCTCTGCGGAGATTGTGCGGGCGTGCGAAGCGCTCTGGCTGTGGCGCCGTGCGAATTCTTCTTAGTCTCGGCGAACCCTCTGCGGAGATCGTGCGTGTCGAAGCGCTCTCGCTGTGGCGCCGTGCAACTTGTTGCTCGCGAAATGGCCTTTGGATCTCGTGGTTTGCGCGCCTGCTTTCGCATTCCCGCGGTCGCGGGTTCAATTTTTGCCTGGTCCGCGGCAGCTCAGCTTTGAAGTACAAACGCAGTACGCGGAGTGTGCTCCTGCAGCTCCGGCTGGAAAATCGCAACTTTTAAGTACAGACGTAGTATGCGGAGCGTGCTCCCGCAGCTCCGGCTGGAAAATCGCAACTTCTAAGTACAAAAATAGTACGCAAAGTACATTCCCACAGCTCCGGCAGCACTTGCGCAGAGCAACTTGCGCTGAGTCACTTGCGCAGAGCAACTTGCGCAGAGCAACTTGCACAGAGCACTTGCACAAAGCACTTGCGCAGAGCAACTTGCACAGACCAACTTGCACAGAGCACATGCGCAAAGCGCTTGCACGGAGCAACTGGCGCAGAGCACTTGCGCAGAGCAACTTGCTCAGAGCGCTTGCACAGAGCACTTGCGTGCAGCAGCTTGCAGAGAGCAACTTGCGCGCAGCAGCCTGGAACAATGCAGCTTGCGCAGACCACTTTCGTGAGAAATCGCGCGGCGCAGTTCGTGCAAAGCGCCTTGCGCCGAGCAGACTCGTGCAGAGCCAACTTGCACAGAGCCAGTTGCGCAGAGCCACTCGCTAAAAGTAGCTTGCGTAGAGCCAACTTTCACAGAGCCAAGCTGCGCAGAGCCATCTTGCACAGAGCTAAGTTGCGCGAGCGTGCTTTGCAGAAACTGTGGCCGTCGTGTAAGCTTTGCTATTGAATGCTTTTCCTTTTGCTTGTAATTCGTCTCGAGCTTTACGAGCTTTACTCTTCTTGTTTTAACGGATGTAAATATGTGGGATCGAGCACTGCCATGTTTCCTCTCGTAGGACGATGAGAGGGAGCTCTCATGTGACCGTACACATTGAGCATCGCCGCGTGCAGACACGCTCGCCGCAGCGATGTAAAAAGGTGTCTCCGCGGCTGGATGAGCACCTGGGGAAAAATGCTGTCGGGCCAATCGTCCTCTAGTCTTTTTTTCCGGCGCGGCTCGTGCGGTTCAGGCGCCCACCATGGCCACCAGCAAGCGGCTGCTGCTGGCCAAGGCCGCCACCTCCAAGGCGGCCGCCTGGCGCACGCGGGCGAGCTCCAAGATGGCCGCGGTGCCGCAGGCCGAAGTCGCGAGGTCGCGAGGTCGCGAGTCCGTTGCTTGCAGAGGGCATGGTTGTTGTTGGGGAACATGTTACATGTTTGCTTATGTGCCAAGTAGCATGGGTCACCTTATGGCCGGTGTGTGTTTCTTTAGGGAACCTTTTAGTTGGTTGCAAAGGGAAACCGAAAGGGACAAGTTGATTCCTCGATTCATTAGACCAGACGGAAAATATAACCCTGGGGTTCCTGTGGCTATGTTTTACGTGGTCGATAGGTTCGCCGCTGTATATCATGGTCGAGGGGGATTGATCATTTTTTCCCGCCAGGTGCAGCGTTTCTAGCTTTTTGCCCATGTCTTTGCAGGATCTTGAAACTTAGCTAAGGTGATTGCAGGACCACGGGTGCTTTGCAACACTAGACCTTGGAATATTGTAATTGGGTCAACATCTAAATCGATTATGGAGCAGTCGAATTGGATCAACTCTAGCCCTTCCCAGGGCGTCCATTAACTTTGCAGACTATAGGGGTGAGGGTGTGTGGAGAGGGCGAGGGTGCATATTTATACGCAGGTGATGGGCTTCACTAGCTCCTTTTGGGAATCGGGGATGGACCCAGTGGGGAATAGTGGGGATGCACATGTGGAACATCACATGTTTTGAAAGGAATCAGTATATTAATGTATATTATATATTACATATGCAACACACGCCCCATAAATTCCATCCATCCAGGAATACGCATACTTAGACCTTCCGAAGGTACAGTTCTTTTGCCGATTGGTTTTTGAGCTCATTGTTTCGCTGATTCAGAGAAATGACGCCAATTCAAGCAAATACTGCAAATTCAAGCAAAAAACGCCGATGGGGAAATCATAGCTGCTCAGCCCAGGCGAATTTGTGTTGCATATTCACGGCTCTTGGGCCGTGTGCTCTCTCAATGTCTAGACTCTGCAGCGCACACCTACCGTGTAACACAATATTGTTTGCCATACTTGGGCCACGCTAGGGGCCCCATGTTCGACAAAGCTGACTCGAGGCGCTTGAGCATCGACCGCACAATTAGTTAAATGCACGCCTGGAATGCAAACCCTGCAGCTGCAGGGGGCCATAGACGCAGTGGCAGTTCACCATATCATGCAAACAGGGCACCATGTCAAAGGCAGCAATAAACCATTATGCAACATACATCCAGCGCAAAACTATAAAATGCTGCGGTTGGGGCCCAGTTCAAGCCGTGAGCCCTGCCTTGCACTATCACTCATGATGTAAAGTCCATTGCACAAGCTCCATGTCCAAAGATGCCTTGCAGCTCGTGGGCGGAACATCGTTCTTTGCTGCATGGTTTAACTTATATTAGATTCCCAAATCAGAAACCTTGACATATCAGATAAGGCCCATCCTCAAAAAGCGGGCACCGACGCCTTCAAATATGGGTCCGGAACAGATCGCTGATTGGCCGGAAAAGACCGCCGACTGGCTGGAAACGATCGGCGGCTGGCCGGTAAAAAATGCCGATTCGGTTTTTGCTTTTTCCGTTGCTTTTGTTTGGATGCCCGCCTGTAAATTTTCAGAATATGCAAGCGAGCTTTGCAGCCCTCGATTTCTGCGTTTTCTGAAGGTGGCATGCAGTGCTTCGGGCTCAGACTCTGCTGTGAAGTTTATAATTGGAAGCGTGCCTTGAGATCCAGTATTTCCGCGACCAACAAGTTATTGATCAACACATCCATCAAAACCCTGGGTTTTATAAGCAGCCAACGACATTTACTGCAAAGAAGGTCGGTTCACACAGGATGTTCAACAGGCAAAAGCGAAAATGGCGTCTTACTGTACTTGAAGATTAGTGAAGCATCGCATGGTCTTTGAATGTCTTTGTCAGGCAAATTGAATTCCCAGCAATGCCAGCAGCCAATTGTGCCTGCCTGGCCGATCGAACCCTGTCCGATGCTTGTCATGCATGCTGCGTAGCGCTCTCTTGAAGCTGAGAGTATCTCCTTATTGGGGAGTGTGTTGCGCAAAATATTTTGTGACACGAGGCAACATGGATTGCAAACATGTACTGTGACACTTGGCGCTCTTTTGCGGAGCAAGTGGCTGCCTGACGCGAGCTATAAGTCCAACGCAAATTCAGGAAAAGTGCCCACAAAGAGCGAATTGAAAGCAGCGGTGCCAAAAGCCAAAGTTCGATGACACTTTGGCAAGCAATCAAAATGCCGCTCGCCCTCGAACTCTGTCGATTCACAAAATGAAACAGCCAAAATTTGACCCTCCCGCCGAAATCTCCAGGTGTACGAAAAGGGCAAAGGCTTGTTGACAGTATGGAGGGGGCAAGGGTGCAAATGTATGTTGACTGGTTTTGTGCAGCTGGTTTCGCAACCAGTATTGGATGCTGGTGCCAAAATAGATCAACCAATCACCTGTTCTTGGGCCAAGTAGCGTGAGTATGAAACCGGCATGCCGAACAGGTGCTAAAAGTGTTAGCTGATCGATGGGTTCATGAGCGAACAATAATTTGGATTGTGCTTTCCAGCTAGCAGACTAGGTGGCTAGACAATGTAGCGAGAACAGGGCCTTTCGCAAAGCAAGCGCCAAGCTCAAGAGCCTTTCCATATCAATTTTGCCTTGCCAAACGCGTTTGACTTGAAGTTTGACATGGTGTGCGTACAGGCCCTCAAAATGACTTCAAACAGGCTGGTGTGGGAAATGTAGGGGAGGAAGGGGGAGGGGGGAGGCGGAGGGGGTAATGTGATACTTTTTTCGGCGGGGGCATTGTCCGTGAAATCACGCCAATTGTCCGTGAAATCGCGCCAATTGTCCGTGAAATTACGCCAATTGTCCGTGAAATCACGGAATCTACAAAAACACATTTTTCTGCGTTGAACTAAGTGAGTGCGCCCCCGACGGCGCCACCTACAAATGGGAAAAGGAGGCAGGTGTATGACCTTGGGCCGGTGAGAATCGTCAGGCGACTGACGCCTTTGAGGCTTGCGCACAGCTTCATGATACCCGGAGATTTCGGGGTGGGGGGGGGGGGCAATGTGTGGCTGTTTCACTAAAGACATGTGTGTTTTTTGTGAATCGATTGAGTTTGAGGGCGAGCGGCATTTTTGTTGCTTGCAACGTGTCATCAAACTGTGTGGCTTTTGGCACCGCTGCTTTCAATTCGCTCTTTGTGGGCACTTTCCTGAATTTGCGTTGGACTTATAGCTCGCGTCAGGCAGCCTCTTGTTCCGCAAAAGAGCGCCAAGTGCCACAGTACATGTTTGCACTCCATGTTGCCTCGTGCCACATTTTTTTTGCGCAACACACTCCCCAATAAGGAGATACTCTCAGCTTCAAGAGAGCGCTACGCAGCATGCACGACAAGCATCGGACAGGGTTCGACCGGCCAGGCAGGCACAATTGGCTGCTGGCATTGCTGGGATTTCACCTTGCCTGACAAAAACCACGCGATGCTTCACTAATCTTCAAGTAAGAAGCCATTTTCGCTTTTGCCTGTTGAACATCCTGTGTGAACCGACCTTCTTTGCAATAAATGTCGTTGGCTGCTTATAAAACCCAGGGTTTTGATGGGTTTGTTGATCAACAAAAAGTCGGTCGCGGAAATATTGGATCTCATGGCCCGCTTCCATGTAGACTTCACAGCGAAGCCTGAGCCCGAAGCGCTGCGTGCCACCTTCAGGAAACGCAGAAATCGAGGGTGCAAAGCTCGCTTGCATATTCTGAAAATTTACAGGCGGGCACCCAAGCAACGAAAGAGCAAACAAGGATTCGGCAATTGTTACCGGCCAGTTGCCGATCGTTTCCAGCCAGTCGGCGATCTTTGCCGGCCAGTCAGCGATCTGCTCCGGACCCATAATTGAAGACGTCCGTGCCCGCTTTTGAGGACGGGCCTTATCTGATAAGGCAAGATTTCTGATTTGGGAATCCAAGTAAAACCATGCAGCAAAGAGCGATGTTCCGCCCACGAGCTGCAAGGCAAGATATGCCCAAGTAAAGGCTTCTTTGGACATGGAGCTTGTGCAATGGACTTTACATCATGAGTGATAGTGCAGGGCCGGGCTCTCGGCTTGAACTGGGCCCCAACTGCAGCATTTTATAGTTTTGCGCTGCATGTACAAGAAGGGGTATGGGTTCCGAGGCGAATATTCCTAGTGGCGCTGCATGCATGCACTCTGCATAATGTTTTGCTGCTGCTTTTGCCATGGTGCCGTGTATGCAGTGGATTCTGCTGCTTCTATGGCCCCCTGCGGCTGCAGGTGCATTCCAGGCGTGCATTTAACCAATTGTGCGGTCGGTACTCAAGCGCTTCGAGTCAGCTTTATCAAACATGGGGCCCCTAGCGTGGCCCAAGTATGGCAAACAATATTGTGTTACACGGTAGGCGTGCGCAGTGCAGAGTCTAGACATTGAGCGAGCACACAGGCCAAGAGCCGTGAATGTGCAGTGCAAACGCGCTTGGGCTGAGCAGCTATGATGTCCCAATCGGCGTTTTTTGCTTGAATCGGAAGTATTTGCTTGAATTGGCGTCATTTCTCTGAATCGGCGAAAAAAATGAGCTCAAACACCAATCGGCAAAAAAGTGTACCTTCAGCAGGTCCAGGTATGTGGTTTCTGCGAGAATGCCTGCAGGCCCGCGGGCCCGCGGGCTCTCATAGCAACGCTATGAAAGTGCATGCTCCGGAGGTCGCCTTTGCACCTGAAACCGGCCAAGAAAATTGTGAGGCAGGGCCACATTACAAAACATGAGGTTCAAAAGCGGTATGGAGCAGAGTAGATGTTGAACAGTGGCCACCATCCTGCACAGGACCTTTGCTTTCAAGCGAGATCAGGGCATCACAAAGTGAGGGTTTGCCAGGGTGCGCTAAGCACCCAACTGCAACAAAACTGAAAAGTGCGAGGGTGTAGGAAAAGTTTAAACCCATATAATGGAGATATCGGATAATTTGGGTGCTAAACAGGGCTAAGAGTGACTTCATGACGGTTTCTTGCGCGCTCTTTAGTTTCAAGCGAGACCCAAACCATCCGCTTGACCCCAAAAATGACCGAAGTCCTGACCATGGAAAAATCGCGGCGATGCTAAGAAAAAAAAAGGCGACGGTGTATAGAGGGGTCGATCCAGAATAACGGAGACAAATAACCACATGGCCTTGGATCAACATCTAAGTTCGTAAGGACCCTTTGTGCTTGCATCTTGGTGACCACCATGGATCTAACCATCATTGCGCAACAAAACGTGAAAAGGTCCGAAAATGATGAATGTCCTGCTAAAAGTAGCCGGTGCAAAAACATGTGCGTAGACGACAAAAGAGAGTCAAATATGTGAGGAGAGGACGACTGTGTATAACGGAGACGAGGGAAGCCCAGGGTAATTTTCGAATCTGCGTATTTAGCGCCGAAGTCAAAGAAGCCGGGACTGGTCGGAAGGGCTTTAACATGCTGCGTCGGGAGCAAGGGAAGAGTCGTATTGTGGGATTCGCGCAGGATTTTGTAGAAGCTGTTGCTATGTCACTAAAAGTTGTCCAAGTCAGAGTGGCTTGCATCCCGCGAGCGCGCCAGATCGCAATTGTCTCAAACCGAGCGAACCATTTCAAACAACTAGTGCAAGCACAAAGCCATGGCACATCACGGGGGTTTCCTAATTCCCAGCTGGCAATATCAGGGGAACAAACTTGGTTTGTCGATGTTCTGCTTGAGACCAATAGAAGACATGGCGTGAGTATTTTTGTTTGGTTCACTCGATGGTTTCAAAGCAAAGAGGACGACCTCTTTTTTCCGGTTCGAAGTCCGGGGTTTGGCGCAAAGAAGCGCTTGGAGGCCATCGTGGGTGCCACGGCGCGCCGCTTTACCAAGGGCTTCTCCAAGGCGGGTTTGTCGGAAAAGGGGAACCCCCCCCCCCACCCCAAAAGGGGGTAGGTGCAAAAAATGATCTTTTGGGCTTCCTTTAAACCAACCACCAAAAAAGGTACCCTCAAGAAACACACCAAAAGCAGTGAAGCAGCCAGAAGAGAGAAGTGAACATAGTACTGACGAGGGTGGCCTGGAGGAAGCGGCCGTCAAACGTGGAGCAGTCACTGGTGCAGAGTTGAGTTGTCGGACTGACCATCGTAAAAGTGCAGGGGGCGTAGCGAAGCCCGAAAGCCTTTCAAAGCTTCTCGCAGTGTGCATGGCGCCGGGGGGCCCGTCTTATCTTTGGAGGAAGGAGCAGATCGAGCGCGTGCTGGCAGAAGTTGTTCCGTCCTGCATGACTGTCATCAAATGCAGGGGCCAGTCAATGCAATTTGAAAAGGCACCGGAAGGACAGCACCCCGCTCGGAAGAAGCAGCACATGGCAGAGGGGTGGGGCGCGCAGTACTCATAGTGCGGCAGCGAAGAGTTGTGAACAGTAAGCGCGTCATGCGTGCAGCAAAATTCAATGTGCGCACATGTAGAAGGAGGTCTTGCAGTGTCTTCGTGCTGTGCCCCTCGTCTGTTTGCTATCCAGCTGCCACGTCGCGTGAACCTGGAACTTTCATTGGAAGATCAGCAAGGCGTTGCAAGCAAAACAAAAGAGTCGGCGTCTTTCTGTTTAGAGTCAGGAAGGCTGAAGAAGGCTTTTGGACTGCATTGCGAGTCAGTATCAGCTCTGTGCTGCCTAGCCTTCACTGCCTTGCTGACCTGGAGAAATCTTCTGCTCCCTGAGCGCGTTCAAGTCCATCAAGGGCAACTGCTTCTCTCCAGCGTCCGCCGCAGCCTACTGCCTTTTTTGTGACATGTTGAAGGAGTGGAGAGTGAATGCGACGCAAACTGAGAAGTCAGCAGTGCTCTTCCCCCAGGGGGTCACCATTTTGTCGACTCACCGAATGTAAATGGGTAAAGACATGCGCACGTATGTGAGACCCTCGTTTGAGGGCCCGATTTGTTCCTCTTGATGTGATTGCTTACATTCTTCTACAATTGGCATGAGCCTTCCAAACACACATGTGCATACGTGTGAATAAGCTCTGACAGCGGGTGATCCACAAACAGGCTGCGGCTGTGGCGAGATCTGGTGGTGTGCAGATGTTCGCTGGCAAGGCGCGAATTTGCATTCTGGGCCAATCCACTTGGGAAGTGAGATCTGGATGGGAAATCATGTGATCCCACAAATTGTTTTTTGGGTCTCTTCTTTCCAACAGGCCGCCTTTGCTCAGGGCACCGGTAAATAGGCACCATGATTTGAAAACTTTCGGGGGCGGCTCAAGCAAAAGCAGAAGGTGGTTTCATGCCTAATTCGGGAGCGGGGGGGCGATGGGCCTCATTCCAGGAGTGGACGAAGGATTTGGGAACGTGACGAAGCACGACGCAATTGGTTGGTTTCCGCGTGGCAGATGTCAGAGTACTGCCCACACAGTATTCTGGTTGCCAACTTTGGGCGCGCCTTCTTTGAACATGGCAAGGCTAGCGCACAGCCTTATTAAGAGTGAAGCAAACAGTGGAATGAACACAACTGCATTCATGATCTGTCATCAGATGGTGGAAGAGAGGATGCAGCCCATATTGTTCTCCGCATTTGGAAGGGGCCTCATTTCGATGCACAGCCCGTTGGGGATGACCCAACCCCAAAGGGTTCAACTGGCGGAAAAGGCAGCGATACATGCGCAGTAAATTAGACAAGCCGCGCCACAATCAGGCCTCACTCACTGGAAACTAGAGCAGATGAATGCGAGCGCCTGTGGGTCGAACGCACTTAGTTCATGTGCCAGGCATCCATTTTTGTAGATGGTTCGCCCCGAAGGTTTTCCAAGAACTCCTCCATTTGCTTAAGACGATTTCTTTATTATTATTATTATTATTATTATTATTTGTCCTGGTTGCCTTAACCAAACGCGAAGTACTGCGCCCTTCAGCGCGGCCGAACGCGGCTTTGGCCGGCCTGAGGCCTTCGCGAAGGCGCCCTGGAGAGGTGGCCTGGCCAAGGCCAAGGTGCGATTGGGCTGATTAAGGACTAGGGGACACGTCCATTTCCATTCTTAACCCGCGAGGCATGGGCTGATTAACTCAGGCATCGGAAGCCTTTCCAGAAAACCATCAGAAAGAACCCCAGGGGACTTTCCCATGGACTTTCCTTCCAGATTGAGGACTTTCCTTGCAGATCGACGGAAGATGCCTTGTCTGTTCGACTGTTGATCTACCAGGGGCCCCGACTTCCCTGGATCGGAAGATTCCTTGTTGCTCTATTTGGCTGTTGTCAAAACCAATGGGATCCCATTTTGGGGCCCATTTTAGAACCTATTTTAGTGGGAATTGGTTGATGTTCACCGGGGGTTCGGGATTTTGATTTTGACCCATGGCCATTTGACACCAGTTGGTGTGGGGGTTGTATCAATTCGGTGCTCCCACGAGCAGTGAACCGGCAACTTGTGTGAAGGGAGCAAGTGAATGATGTTCTGAGCTTCCTCAGTGAAACTCGCCTGAAACGGGAGGAACCCAACACAGGGCCAGCCTATTGAGATCCCCTTTCACTGTCCCGGTTGCGGGTGAACAAGGTATGCTAACACAGGTCACCAGTTCCATCCGTTTTTGTACAAGGACACCTGGGCTATTCCTGCGAGCTTACAGCTGGGGTTTCATGTTGAGCCGGAAGGTTGAGTGAGGGCTTGCCCGCTTCCACGCCGCGGATCCGGAAATGTGGGAAGGGAGTCTTTAATTCAACCGCTCGCCTCCTTGCAGCAAGCCGTGCCCGCGCCTGAGGAGTTCTGCCTTTCGGTTCGTTGGCTCTTCGACGTGCACTGCACAGAGGGGACCCTGATCGTAGAGTACGTGTGGTTTCGGGCCACCCCTATTCCTTTGAGAATATGTTGAAATCCCGGAAAACATGCTTATTGAAATCGCTACGCGATCCGCCGACGCCAGTGGACAGTCCCCTATATTAATAAACTGGGGCTGATCAATCTGGAGTCAGCACTGGTCGGCTGCAGGGTACCTTGAATTTGGGGTACACCGGGGTCTTAACGCGTGGAAGGAGAACAAACAGCACTTCTCTTGTCACTGTGGCCTTGGCACTTCAACCTTATCTTTCGCCTTATTTGGCTTTGTTTGGCCTTATCTGTGGCCTTGTTTGGCTTTATCTTTGGCTTTGCCGGCTTTTCTGTGGTCTTCTTGGGTTGTTTGTGGTCTCATTTGCCATTTTAGGTCCTTCGTTGACCTTGTTCGGTCTCTTGTCTTGTGGCCTCAAGGCATGTGGCAGGGGGGCCTCATGGGCTGGCAAGGTCCAGAGATGGCCAGTGTCATGCCTAGACGTGGCCTCAGCTGGGAGGGGCCAAAAGTCTGCAACGCTAAGCAAAAAATCCAAATCGGCAACTTCTGTGACTAAATGTGTGATTCAAGTTAAGCTTCCCCACAACCGCTTTCCAATTGTCGAGGCCCTTTTAGCACCTCAAGGGCTGGATTCCTTTCACTGCTGCGAAGTTCTGATTACCCCTCCAACTTGGGCACGTGCGAAAGCTTGAAAGGAATCCAAGGGGAAACCTCCCAACTGGAGGAGTCCCAGTTTTGACACCAAGAGGAGACGCCTCTTCGGTGCCCTTCTGGTTTCCCTTGAAGCCCAACTCACAAAAAGGGTCCACGCCTAAATTTTCGGACATGTTGAAGCCAGTTGACCCCTCCAGACTCCGAAGCCCCGCCCCAAAGAAATAAGCTCAGGTGACATCCCCAACAGCACGCGGTGCTCTTTTTAGTGCTCGCACCACCCTGCAGCCCTCGCAGAACCTCGTGGAACCCTGGTGGAACCCTGGTGGAACACTGGTGGAACCCTTGTGGAACCTTACCTCTGGGCCGCCCCGGAAACACGCCGGAGCCTATCTGGGCTGAGACCCCAAAGCTTTCAGCTGTTGGGGAAAAAAGGAGGAAGTACTACTGTACATGTGCTCCTCTCAGGCACCTATGAGCTTCACCACAAACCAAATGCAATTTTTGAGCGAGCTGCCGAATCCAGTGTTGTGCAAAGGGGAAATATCGTCAACCCTGAGACCATGTCTACAGGGGTCAATCCAACCGATGGCTGTGGGAGCCCGGGTTCCATTATTTGATTACCCCAGGTAGACTTAAACCCAGGTGTAACTCTTATCCCAAGAAAGCGCCCGGATATGCACGTCTACCTGCGGGTAGCCAAATGAAACCCTGATCACAACATGACCCAAGGGAGCTTTTTGACAAATGCCCTGGTCTTGGTGAAGCAACCTGCGAGTTTATGAGCCTTGCGTGCCATTTTCCTGTGTTCCGTCGCCTTTTGGAAAGGCCAAGGAATAAGTTGTCAGAAGCGGTGTCGACCCCAGGTCCCTTTTGATTTCCACGCGTCCCCCCCATCTCCCTCTGCGTCTTCTCCGTTCGGCTCCAGCTTCGGTGCTGCCTTCGGGACGGACGCTTTGGGTTTCATGAGGGATGCTGCGGACGCGGAGACTGGGCTGTCGCCTTTGGCCCGGGAGTTCTGCGCGTTTTTGGTGCGGGCCTCGGGGCTGCAGAGCCGGCTGGAGTCCTTCATGCGGGAGGAGTGCCATCAGTTCCAGGCGCGAAAGACACGGAGAAACCATGAGCATGTCTCTTTGATCTTTTTTTGGGGGGGAGGGGGCGGACTTACAAGGAGGTTCGGGCACATTGCAGGTGACGTGGGTTGACAGTGGGCTGTCAAGGAACTAATGCCAGGGACCCACGCTGTTGGCCAAGAGATTGGGTTTCGGGAGCGTGCAAGAATCAGCTTCGTCCAGAAAAGACGAGAGAAAGTGCTTTGGCGTGGAAGACCAACCGTTTCTTTCTTCACAAGGTTTTGCAATTGTGCACCGAACCAATACTTGTTGGGGATGGTAAAGCAGCATTCAAACCAACCTTCCACCCGGCCCTAAACCGCCTCACACCCCCTCATACCCACTCTAAAGCTCATCCTCATGTTTGGCGTTCAGTTTTCACCCTTGCCAGGGTGCCTCCCTTGACGAAGAGCATAAGCTCGAGTGGACGCTGCTGCACAAGCAGAAGCTCGAGCCATACATTGGGGCAGGATGCCAATCACCGCTCTTAAGGGCAGGTTTTGAAATGTCGGTGTCAGGGCGGATCAATTTCTTTCATTTTCGACAGGCTCCACCAAATGTTTGGTTCCTTTTCAGCAGCCGTGGACCTTGCTTTCTTCGCCCCATTTGGTGTCTATCAAGCAATCGACCATTTTGTTCACGGCTTGTCTTTTTTTTACAAATCATGATAATAATAAACACATTGTAACAGGCGCTTAACAAGGAGGTCCTTGGGTTGATGCTGAGCATCACCTTTTGGTGTCTGGGAAGTTTATGCGAGCTCAACTAAAAGATTTGAATGAGCAATTCCAGTCATGAAAAGGATCCTGAATCATGAGACTTATACTTTTAATGTACGGTGCCTAACCATTTGCGAAGGGCGGGTGGAGGCTCGGCGAGACCAAGGCAGTGTCTTATTCCTGTTTATTCCGCTTGTTCAAAGTGCTCCTCCAACGCCCTCAACCCTTGTTTTGTTTCGACCCCGCATATTTAATTCATTTTCCAAAATCTTCACTGAGGCTAGCGTTGTGTATCGTTTGCGGACACCTGCAATGAAACACAGGTTTTGCTTCCATGTGTTTTAGCGCTGGCTGGGCCGGCCTGTCGGCTCCGGAGGTAGCATGAAATACTCCTGGACTTATGTAACAATCCTGTTTTGTTGTTTTTTGTGGGCGCCGTAGGGTTGAGAATAACTTGACACTGTGCAGATTGTGTTCAACCCTTGACTAATTAAACAAATCTTGTACCCTAGTTTCCATGACCTTCCATATTGCGCCGTGCATGAGATGCTCCCATCATGTTCCACAATCACCAAGCGCACTTTTCCGGCATTAAGGCGCGTGGGAGGTGAGCTCCCCCGTTGAGGGACCTCTAGCTGGTCCGTTTTTTGATTGAGGGGACAAGCCAGGGGTTTTTCTTTTGCTCTAAGCGCGGCTTTCAAGGGTGCCGTGAAAAGAAACGCCCGGCTGGGCCGCCAGAATTAAACCACCAGGAATCGGACCGCACATTTTAGTCCATGTTTCCATTTACCAGGGCAACCCATGTTACAATGTTGGTCACCTATTCTTGACCCACAGCCATGTGGGCTGAGGTATGTGGAGCTGGCGGAGAAGCAGCTCGAGGAGTTCCTCCAGGAGCGAAACGCCAGTGCTGAGGAGGCGCGGACGGAGGGGTTCGGAAGGGAACCACGGTGAGTTTGGCTGAAGGGGATTCCTCGGTGAGGACTCAAGGCACGGAAGGCACGGAAGGTGCAAGACGGTCAACTTAAGAAAGGAAAGACTTGGCCAAGACTTGGCCTTCTTCTGGTACATGGCGGTGCCTCCCCAGCGTTCCGAGGACCATCTACGACCCGGGTTCAAACAATCCTGGGTAACTGAGAATAAGGGGAAGAAAAGGGGGACAAACGAAGAAAAAGGGGAAAAGCGTACTCTGTCAAAACAGGCACCAGTTTTGGATGTTACCTGGCAAATCAGGCTGGTGATTCTGGGAAATGACGAACATGGAAGTATATGAATGTCCTGTGCATGGCTTTCCTTTTTGGAAAGAGGTCCCTGCATGTTGGTGGGAGAGTAGGAGAAAGATAAAGCAAGGGACTACACGATTGCACAGGTTCTACCTCGGCAGGAAATGACAAACTGAGAAACACTGGTGGAAGGAAACTTGAGATTGCAGTGGGACAAACCAACACCACGAGAGAAAGGGGACTGATAGAGACCGCACGATCGAGAAAGCTTGAGCAATGAGGAGCAGCAAGGAAAAAGCAGGGGCAGTATCCTGCAATCACTCAGGTCCAATTCCCCTTGATAAGATTGAACAAACATATACTGCCCCAAGTGAATGAGGCCCCTGTTTATTGCTTGGGTCTTCGCCACCTGACTTGAAGAGCGGGGGTTGGGGGTTGAAGTTTCCTTGCGTCCTGGGTGGATTCGAAAATCACAGAAAGTCCGAACTTGTTGGCGCCCGCTACGATGATGTTCCCAAGAAGTATCCAGTCCAGAAGGGTACCAAGACCTCCAGCTCTTAAGCCATTGGGTCGGGGGGACCAAAAGGGAAACCGCCATGCTTCCATTCCCACTCATTCCCACTGAGGTTTTCTGCATGTGGATTGTCTCCGAACCAACATGGAAACCACCATGGTCTCTTAGTTGGCGTGGATTGGTCAAACGCTTGAGCCCCTGGTAGCGGGCCGAATTGGAAGCCGCCCCGGGACGTCCGAAATTTCGGACGTGAGGTGGCGCAGACGTTGCAGCGGGCCCTCGGCAGCTCCATGTGGTCCCTGCCGCTGCTGAGGTCCCTGGAGTACGAGGCCTTCGCGCAGCAGATGCTCGCGCGCGCCCAGGCGCCCCAGCTGAGAAAAGAGGCCAACCAGTCTGGAGGACGGGTGTTTGGTGGTTGCAGGTTTGGAGTTGTTAGAAGTGACATTCCGTCCAAACACGGACACAAACACACGCAAACACACCCACAAGCAAAACCTGCGAGCTCACAGAAGCACGGAGGCACACGCACGCATGCAAACCCGGTTTGTTTGGCAGTTTCCCAGCTAGGGCTCGAAACCGCCATTCCTAGCTGGCAGTTTTCCAAGTAAGCATTGTTGTCAATCAAGCAATGTTGCTGGCCAGGGCTGTCGTTTCAGATCACCTTCCTGGACAGTTGAATGTTTTTGTTTCCGGAGTGGTTGTTTCCTCTTGGAGGTTTCCTGCGAACTCCGTCAACCAAAAATGGACCTCCCTGTTCCATAGTTGTGGGGCTCTACATTCTGTGTGATGGCAAGGAAATCCTGAGTCCCCTTCAAAATGTTTATGCTGGTAAAGCCGGGCATGGCGCTGAAATCTCATTTTGGTATCACAGAACAAGTGAATTCCACATCCATTCTTTTCAGGTTCCGCCACTCCCCAACTCAAGCAGCCCTGATTCCTTCAGACCACTTCGCAGACAATCAACCAACTGGTCTTGTTGCCTTGGTTTTTCAACCCCTTTTGAACCACTAGGTCCCCCAGCTAGGCTACAGAAAGGAAGTAAGCCGGCACCGGCTTCTAACTTCTCCACTGGACCTCCAGGTTTCCAGGCCTTCCCTTGCCCACTGGGCTTGCCGCTTGCCGCTTTCCGCCGAAGAAATCGACCCGTGGGTTCCCGCCGAAGAACTTCCCGGAGGAGTCTTCGGCGGGGTGTGGAAGCTGCAGAGCTCCGAGCCCCGGGACCTGGAGCGGTTCCTCAAGGCGCAGGCGAGGAGTGGGACA